GCATTTATTTACTAATCACTCCAAGGAAACCTTTGTTCTTTTCGGTTACTAGAATGTTAATTCAAAGCAATTTTAAAGATAATTGGTGTGTGTGGGGAGGGGTAGATCACAGGAGTCTAAGCAGCAGCCGTCACTCCAAAGAACTCATTGAAGATGGTAGAAAGGAAAATTAAACTCAAGCGAACTGCCTTATCCCTCTCTTCTTGATTTTAATTCGACTTCATTTTCCTCTGCTGTGGGAGAAATTTCTATACTAGAACCTCCCTTTAGTCATTCTACAGGGTGGTTAGTGACACGGTGAATAAACAACCCGTGCTCTGTGGTATAGAACCTAACAAGCACACTTGAGGTTGAACTGGAAATGGGAGTCTAGTGTGGGTACTGGCTGACACCCACTGGAGGAAGGAGATGGAGACAGATGGCGTCTCTCCAATGCCAAGCCCTTGCTGCTCAACCCGAGTCACTTTTGGGAACACTGGGTCCTCATATCCCAGATTTGCATCAACACCTCCTGGTGTAAGGAGGAAACAGGAACGTCCTCACCCTCCTGCCATCTTCAAGGGCTCTTGAAGCTCTCTTGGAACTGCTGTGTGCTCTCCCCACCCCCTCACTTCTGAGAAAGTGGAGAGAGCTAAAATACCTCAAAGGAAAGCAGTACACGTCCTAGATAAGCAGTGGTTATAGAGTGGTTGCCAACTTTCATAAACTTCCTCTTAAAAATAATGAATAACACCTCTGGAAAATACAGAAACACAAGAACAGTTTCTGTTAGTAAAAACAGTTAAAAACATCTAGAAGTCCATTATTCTCCCCTTTCTCTGAAAGACCAACCCCAGTTCTGCTATTTAAACAGTCAACGTAGTAGAAAACCATGAATAACATTCTAAGCCATATTTTAATAGAACTTTTCCTCCAGACACCAATCACTCCCAATCAGGAATTTTCTGGTTTATGTTTTTTTTTGTTTTCTGTTTTGTTTTTGGTAAATGTTTGCTAAAAAAGGAAAGTGGATAATAATCTGGGTAGATCTACCTCTTCTCTTTGCCATTTCTGACTGTTGAGATGCTTTGCCTACCTCCGCCCCCCACGATGGCCCAAGTTAACAAATCTACAAGGATACACTAAAATCAAAGAAAAATAGAGACAGAGCAGAAAAAAGGTATTAAGAAGGCAGACAACAAATTAAGGTGAAGGACTGGAGAACTAACATTTATGAAGCCTCTTTTGTTTGCTAAGATCTTTGGTATATCCTTTACATTAAAAAATGGAATGTTGGGGGCTTCCCTGGTGGCGCAGTGGTTGAGAGTCCGCCTGCCAATGCAGGCGACACGGGTTCGTGCCCCGGTCTGGGAAGATCCCACATGCCGTGGAGCGGCTGGGCCCGTGAGCCATGGCCGCTGAGCCTGCGCGTCTGGAGCCTGTGCTCCGCAACGGGAGAGGCCACAACAGTGAGAGGCCGGTGTACGGCCAAAAAAAAAAAAAAAGGAATGTTGGGAAGTTTTCTAGTTTTTTTTTTTTGTTTTTTTTTTTTTTTTTACTAATAATACATTATAACAGTGTAGAATACGTCCTTTTAAAAATGATGGTCTAAAAAGACCTCCAGGGCTTCCTTGGTGGCGCAGTGGTTGAGAGCACCCCTGCCATTGCAGGGGAAGTGGATTCGAGCCCTGGTCCAGGAAGATTCCACATGCTGTGGAACAGCTGGGCCTGTGTGCCACAACTACTGAGCCTGCACTCTAGAACCTGCCAGCCACAACTACTGAGCCCACGCACCTAGAGACTGTGCTCCACAACAAGAGAAGCCACTGCAATGAGAAGCCTGTGCGCTGCAAGGAAGAGGAGCCCCCGCTTGTCGCCACTAGAGAAAGCCCACATGCAGCAGCAGACCCAATGCAGCCAAAAATAAATAAATAAAATAAATAAATTTATTAAAAAAATAAAAAGACCTTCAGTCAACCTAAAAAAAAAAAAGATAGTCTATCAAGACTATCATTTAAGTAAACCAGGAGTTGGGCAAAATCCAGGAGTTTAAAATCACTTTAGAATTTATTTTGAAATGGATAGGTTTTTTAAAAGTTTTTTAAAAAATCTAGATATTGAGACTCTTAAAATGTATACGAAAAATCAGTGCAGTTTGAAAATGTCTTTCACACAATCTTCCCTCTGGGTGTTTGCTTTTTCCTTCTCACAGGACCCTGCTGACATCCCTGCCTCTCGTCCCTAATTCTCACAGCCAGGCCTGTATTATCAGGTGTGGGTGGTGGAACTCAACCCCATATGACCCAGGAAGAAGTGGGGTGGGAGCTGTCTTGTAGCTAGTCTGATGGCTTTTGGTGGAATGCTAATTTCCTAATCGGATTTGGAGGGTGGGGTTGGCAACTAGAAAAGTTGATCCCTTCACTTCAGGCTAAATATACAGCCAGCATTCCCAAGGCCTTTAACCTTGCACATTTTGAGGAAGGTGGGGCTTTACATGCGTTCATATCCTCTCCTGGGCCTCTTTCTGGTCACCAGGCATGCTGTTAGCAAAACGCCAAGCAATCCTGAGATACTCAGGCCCACGGCCACAGGGATTTCTCTCCTGTTTCTGTCACTGAAGCATTCGTCCGCTGTAATTGAAGTCAGAGTAACAGGTGTTACAGGCTGGCCACAATGCTGGGAAGTGATACTGCCCCTGCCTGCCTCAGCTTCACAGAGAAGGAAACTGAGCGGAGATGGAGCTGCGGGACCTGTCCCTGCTGCCTCAGACATATGGACAGGTGAAGATGAGAAGGGAAGGGGTCACTGCAGTGGGCTGAAACTTGCAGTGCCTGTGATCACTTAAGGGGTGTCTTAAACTGCAGATCCCCGGGCCCTGCACCCAAGCAGTTTTGATTCAGCGGGTCGGAGGTGGGACCCAGGTGATTGTGATACGGCTGGGAGGCAGATCCAACTTTGAGGAACACTGGTTAGGTCCAGAGGGTCAGGATCAGAATTGTGTCTTGACTCTCAAGCCAGGGTAAGCACGGTAGCCTTGTTTCCCAACGTTGGAAACACAGACCTGGACCATATCACCTGGCCAAAGCTTTCTATTTAAACTCTGTGCTTCTTGAAGGGACTGCTGGACACCCTGGGCTCCTGGTACCAGAGAGAGCTTTTGCAGGCTCTGAGATTTTAGAGAGAAGGGGTTTAGAAAGGGCCCTGGGGTTTAGAAAGGGGTTTAGAAAGCCCCTGACGGGGCCTACTGTTTGGGATGACCGTTCTCTTTGACAAGGCTGAGCGTTACACTTGCTGGATTCCTCTCCAGTTCTCTGAGCCCCTGTTGAAGGGTCACCCATCTGTCAGGACTTCTCTGACCCCCTTCCTGCAACGCTGTGTTCCTCATGCCTTCCTCTGCACTCCCATGGTCTTTTGTACTTATGCCTTTTATAATGCCATATTGTATGGTAACTTCTATTTTTTAACTTGCTCCTTTTTCTGTCTTCTCTTGCTCTCTGGTAGAAAATATTATTTACAGAATGACATACAACTTCACATTTGAGTACCTTTAGTGAAATTTGAGGTGCAAAGACTGGGAATGAGGAGCTGAGCTGAAGCAGGGACAGTGGAATGAACAAGAGAAATATTTTGGAGGTAGAATTGATAGGGTTTTGTGACTATGTATATGAGAGGGTGAAGGAAGGAGAGGAAAAAATGAAGAGATAGCTTCCTACATCTCCTCGTGAGCACTGCTTAATAGCCGCCAGGTGTGCTGCTAAAAGGTTTTTATTTCTCATCTCTGCCACCAAAAGGTTTCCCAGACCTGCTTACTTCCTTCTATATACAGGTTCTGAGGGGGAGGAAGAGAAAGTGTGTGCCTTATTTGTAAGACCACATGATTAAATACAGAGGTTTTTCAAGGCTTCATAATAAATTTTTAAAAGAGTTTCCCAAATTGGGTATTTTGAGACAAGATGACAGAATGGGGGAAATACCTACTAGCAAATTCTAATATTTAATCTTAGGACTCTGGTAAAGGTCCAAAATTAAGATAGAGATTGTAGGACTCAGACCAAACCTACAGATATCAGGAGATCCAAGGCAAGTGACACATTTGCTTTCCACCAGGTATATCAGAAGTTTTCTGCCAGACACATTTTCAGCTTTACAGTGGAATTCAAGTAGAAATAAGACTCATGTTATAGAAAGTTAACTTACAGCTACACCTCTAGCTAAATCTATTTTTGATAGCTGAGAAGTACTCATAATGTCATTGACTTATTATGAGAGAGATGTTTTAGAAACCGAAGTTCAATTCTTGCCCATACGTAGAAACCCTTGTAGTACTGTTTTCCTGGTGGGGAGAAAAGGGCTTTTTTGGAAAGTCACCCTGGGCTGCCCCTGGCCTTCTTGTTAGAACCTGCTTCCCTCTGTGGTGGTAAAAACCCAAAGTAGAGTTGCATGGAAACTAAGACTAACTATGAGGAAGCACAAGTTGGGTGGAACAGCTTGGATTTGAGAAGAGGGGATTCAACAGTGTATTTCTGTCTAGAATGATCACAACTTTCTCTTTTCCCTCCATAAGTGGGAAAGAATCTATTCTGAAATCTTGAATTTTAGACATCACTAATACTCAAGATTTTTAAGGTGTTCTCCAAAGACACCTGAGTTTACCAGTATTCAACAGCTTGTTCAGGGGAGGTTACTGATGGCGTTTTCTGACTCTTTGATTGACTGTGTGTGTGTGTTTAAGTGAGTCAGAATGTGTATCTTGGCCAGACAAGAAGAATGTATTCTGCTGTGGGAGGGCGGTGGACATGAGTGGGTTTAAAGTGTCTGATTTTGAGGGTGGTATTGACTCAGACAATGGTGGGAGGGAGGGTTGGCCAGAGAAACTTGACCCTGAGAGCTTAGTGGAATCATACTCTTCTAGGAAGTTCATGTGATTCTTGTCCCTTTGAAAGCTTCAAACAAAAAACGACTTGAAACTACTCCTGGGTCTCAGAAGTTTAGGTTTGTGACATGATGATCCCTTAACTTACCATTTCCAAAGTGGTTGCCTTCAAAATCAAAGGCTTGAAGTTGGATATTCATTGTTTTCAGCTGAAGGTGGGTTGAGAGCTGGATGCTCTGTTCGCTCACACACTTGAAGGAATGCCCGGCCACAGTCTCAAACATCACCATTGCACTTTTCATTCCTTGGTAAACTTTCTCTGGAAACACAAAGGTGAAATATCGACATGTAAGAGTCCTGGCAAATATCCATTGAGCCCCAGCTGTTGCTGGGTGGCCCATGTGCAGTTAAATGGCCTTCCTTAGATGTGGTTCTCCAGAGTTCTGACACCTTCGCCTCATGAAACATCACCCTGGTGCTGTCTGGGGACTTTTTCCTGATGCTCTGTTCGCCATATATGGGGGCAATCTCACATAAATTAGAATATGATAACATTGAAATAAAAACTCTTCGGAATCTTTTCTTCAGTTATTTTAAGTCACTGGGGGCAGAGTCAATGGGGACTATTGTCAGTGCTTGTGCACAAAAAAGTGCCCACGAAAACTTCAGAAATAAAAGAAGTAAGATTGTTCTCTGAGACAAAAATCACATGAACTCATAATGCATCAGAGCAGAGACATGCAAAGTTACCAAGTAGAGTATTTGCATGTCACCACACTGAATGAATTAATATAGCAAAAGGAAGGACTAAGCCCATCATTGGGAGGGGTTGTCGCATCATTCATGGAAGCGTAGAGAAGGGAGAGGCCCATCTGCATCCATCTGAGTGCTGCTGGGGGGGAAGAACCTGCTCAAGGACTGCCCCTGTCTCATGAGAGGCAACAGGCGTTTCAAGGAGGTGAGTGCTTCAAGGCCCATGGGGTTAAACATTTAGAATATTTACACCATTGTAAAGCAATTATACTCCAATAAAGATGTTTTAAAAAATTTAATAACTCCATTTGCTCTAATTCCACCTCCACCAGGCACCCTTCTGAATATAGTTTGGTTTCCTGAATGGGAGAAAGTTCATTGGCAGAGTACCCAACTGTCTTGGTCCCCTTGCAGTTACAATAAGAAGCAGTAGCATGATGAATGAACAAACTGGCATTCTGATTTTATACACCAGTTTTATAACCTTGGTTTAACATCAGGTTCCTTGAAGAAACAGCCGCTGAGGGCTTCTGGGGCTGAGGACCAGACTATGGACCTCAGTGAATTCATCCATGGGCTGTTAGTGAGGGAGTCCGGAAGTTCCCTCCTCTCCTGCTGCTGTGGGTGTGTTCACTTGCATCTGACATAACATCTCACACGGAGGGTCGGCTCACTGTGTTTCAGGTGCTGTGCAAGTACTTGACGTGCATTTTCCTGTTTAATTCCCACAAAAATTTTTTGAGATAGGTACTACTGTCACCATTTTACAGATGAGAAGACGGAGTTGAAAACATTCGTCTAAGAACATACATCTAGTAAGTGGTATTCGGACTCAAGCCGTCTGATTCTTGAGCTTGTTATCTTAACTACTGTGCTGTTGTGTCTCCTGCCTGTTACTGTCGTATTCACTGCAGACTCCTGCATTTATACGTGAAAATGTCCTACTTGATGTACTGAATTATCCATGTACGCTGCTGTATCTTGTGTTATATCCTGGAGTAGTCTACTACCACTGCTCGTGCTAACGTCACCACGGTCACTACCCCTGTAACTACAACTAACTACTGTACTCACACCACCACCACTGCCACCATCGATATGAAAATTATCATTACTATGAGTATGACAGTTCCTCTGCCACTGCTGAGCCTTGAGCATGCGGACCTAGAGTTGTTTTTTCCCCTCCCTCAGCCTCTCAATCAGTTTCTGGTCTGACTTTCCCTTCTCCTGCCCCTTGAGACGTTACTACCCTATTAGTAGCTAAAATTTGGTCCTTATCCAGTGATAACATTAGCTGCTTTATGTTAGCATGCACAATATTTATTCCCCAGTCGACATGAGGAGACTCATTTGAGATAATGCATATGAAAAGGTCAACTGTGACATCTTACTTACATTTAACCGATAATCATTGACAACAATTTTTTGAGCAAAATACCAATGTAATATTGCTAATATTTAAAATAGATATTTCTTCACATTTTCACTTCTCTGCAAGTTTCTTTAGTATAAGTTCCTTAATTAATAAAAGAATAAGTTTAAGCCAGTCCAAAAGAATTTTGAAGAGGATAAAAGAGACATGAAAACTCTTAGTACACGAACTGGCACAGAGGAGGTGCTCACTAGCAGTGTGTTATCGAAGTCTAGGCTTTCTGGAGAAACATCTGAGGCCTCTGAGAAACTCCCTCAACTTGACTGGGAGCATTACTTTCCTAGAAGTGAACATTGTAGGAGTTCTTTCAACTTGCTCTACTTTGGGTAATTTTTCATATAGCAAACCAAAGTGAACCTTTATAAATATAAATTTGATATATCATTTCCCTACGCCAAGCCCTCCAATGGCATCTTTTCACACTTTAGAATAAAATCCAAAGTCCTCACCCTGTCTTACTCACAGGCTGTCTGTGCTCTGGCCTGGCTGCCCCTCAGACCTCATTGGCTGCTTTGCTTGCTCTCTTGGACACACTGGTTCCTGCTGGTCCTTGAGTGCCCCAGCAAGCTCACTCCTTAGAGCCTGGGTACCTGTAGTTCCTGCCGCATGGAGAGAGCTTCCCCAGACCCAGATGTCCCCAAATGGGGACAGCTCTTTGCTCAAACCTCACCTCTTCAGAGAGGGCTTTCTTCTCAGAGGGCTTCCCTACTACCCCTTCCAGACCTCTCCATCCTCATCCTGCTTTTTTTGCTCATAGAATTTAGCACTATTTAACTGTATATTGTAATTTAATGCATCTGTTTACGGTCCTCTCCCCACTTCTATAATGTAAGCTCCATGAGGTCAGGGACTATATGTTTAGATAATTAGGGATACCAAGTACATATACTATAGGGCTTGGAACCTAGCAGGAACTAGCTACACTTCCGTAGAATGAATGCATGATTCCGAGAGTGTAAAATAAACCTCACCATTAACAGCAAATCTGTCCAAAAGTCACTCAACTCTATTGTTGCTGATTTGACACAATGTAGCCAACTTGCTGCATGAGCAGACAAGCAGACTGAAGCACACAGAGATGCATCAATAATAAGTTCCCTCAAAGTTACATTGCTGGCTGCTCTCTCAGTCTGTTTCTCAAAGGCAGCATCACATATTAGCGAGGTGAAAACTGAGCTAATCAGAAACATAGCATCATCGCTGGTAGAACAGGCTTCTCCAGCTACTTACCTGGATTTGAGATGGTCAAATAGGCTTCCACCTCACTGATATAATACGAGTTTTCATCCTGTAAAACAGCAGTGTGTCAACTTTTGGGTAATCTCTGTTTTTATGTTTATGATCCTAGTTTACAGACTGTTTAGGCAGGATTCCAGCTATTAAATCATTGATATGGGGGTTTGGGTTAGTTTGTATGGAGCCACAACTGTGTTTGAAATTTTCCAAAGAAGTAAATACATCATACAATAAATAGATAATAAGTAATGGCTTGCCGCTGGCTGAAAATTTCTCTATTGCATACTTGTTGCTAGAGCCTGAAATTCAAATTCCACTGGTACTATTTGAGTCCCTTCAGCTGGGCCAAGTTTCCCCCTGTTATAATGCAAATACATCTGGAAGGTGGATGGGCTGGGGGGGCATACATTAAGCCCTTATTAGTAATTAATATCTTAGGGTAGGGATTCAAGCTGAGACCACTCATCCTTAAGGCTACTGTGGGTGGATTTGATGGGGTCCATAAACCCCCCTGGGAAAAACAGTGTATGCAAAATTGTGTGTGGATTTTCCTGGATAGGGTATCAATTACTGTAAACAGATTAATGGGTTCATGTCTCCAAAATGGTTACAAGGGGCCATGAAGGATTCTGGAAAGAAAAGGTTAACCTTGAGATTACTGGCTGTTCTCTAGAAGAAGACCCCAGGTTGTTGTGTTCAGAATTATAAAGCAGTGCTCCACGTTTTATCCAGGGACTGTCCTTTTGGGAAAAAAAAAACAAACCAAAAAACCCTACAAAACAGCCCTATAACTTCCTGAGAGAATCAGGGTATGGAACATTAAAACGAATTGAATTGAGATATGAAAGTTAAGCTGGAAAAGGAGTTTTTACTTTTTAAAGTAGGTGATTTACAATGTTATTGCTTTTAAACATTCATTAGAAAACTATCTGCGAGTTGCCAAAAACGGTAGAGCAACCAAAATCAGAATCTGAAATTGAATTACTTTTAGTAGTCATTAAAGGAACTTAGCAATAATAATCTTGACCACATTCTAGTCCATTTATATATTGTTTGTAGGTGAAATGATGATTGCTTACACAATAAGTGTTCCAGAAATACAAACTGTTCCAGTGAGGTGACTGCTATCGATGCACTGAACTCTAGATCCTACAGTTCACCGAAGCAGCTCCACACACTGGCTTCTCACCTCATGCCAGGCACTTCTTACCTTGTGTGGCAGGCACCTCTGTGCTTCACCTTATTTAATCCCCACAACCACTAGGAGAAGAAATGGAGGCTCAGTGACTTGCCCAAGGTCACAGTCCTCATAGTTGGCAGGGGAAGATATGACCCCAAGCCACCTGGCTAGCCTTTAACTTCTCTTATATCCACTCCAGACCAGGCATTGCTCTAGGGTCCTGGGGGAAGAATAAGACCCAGATGCTTCATTCAAGGTGCTCAGTCTTGGGTCTCAAAGGCAAGTTGGATGATGTGCTTGGACCATCCATTTGTTTTAGAGAAAAACAACTGTGACCCAGGCCCTTGGGTTGCTTTTACATACAGTTTATTCAAGTTATTCTTTTTTTTTTTTTTTTTTGCCACACCGCGCGGCTTGTGGAACCTTAGTTCCCCAACCAGTAACCCAGGCCCTTAGCAGTGAAAGTGCAGAGTCCTAACCACTGGACCGCCAGGGAATTCCCAGGATATTCTTTACTTGGGATCCCTTTTAGCATAAGAGACTTGTATGTCAGGGCCCACAGTCACTGTTATAAAAACCCTGCCCCATCCTAAGGGCAGAGAGAATCCATTGAAGGGTTTTAAGCAGGGCAGTGATATGAGGGCTTTGTTTTTGGAAATTGCTTGGGCTGCAGCAAGAGATTGATTAAAGAGCAGCAGGAGACCAGTGATGGGCCAGCTCTGAGCTCCATGGGATACCTCCTGAAGTCTTCCCTCTCCTGTGGCATCTCCTAGAGCTATCCTCGCTGTAAGGAATGGGTGCTTTGTATTTCTTTACTAAAGTGCATTTTTCTGCCTTCTTTGATCCTCACAACCCCCTTGAGGCAGAATAAATATTCTCAGCCCATTTTACAGCTGAGAACAAAGAGCTCAGAGGAGGTAGGCCTCTACCACTGATTCACATTGTTTGTAGGTGAGGCAAAGCATGATCTTGTCTATGGGATCTTGCTCTACACTTTCCTTCATGGGACGGGTGGTTATAGAGAAAAAATTTGTCGTGCAAGAACTTTCTTTCACATTCCCTGGAATATATTTGCCTATATATAATCATCTATAGGAAGCAAGACCAGCTACATAATTTGTGGACCTAGTTCAAAATAAAAGTGCAATATCAAAAATTATTAAGAATTCCAAGAGGGAGGTAAAGCATTAAAGCAAGCATGGGCCCTCCCAGCTGCATGCCCTGACAGGAAGGGCTGTTCCTGCTCTACCAGAACTGGTGCTTTATAGGGCTAATGCCCAAGGTGAGGCCTTCCAAAGCAGATGGCAGTGATCATACTCACTGCAAGTTTATCTCATAATGTAACAGGGCTGAGTCCAGAGCCTGTATCCAGGTTTCCTTCTGTTTTGACTGAGTGAAAATTAACCAGATGTTGACTGGGACTGAACTGCTGTCTATCTTCATGGTGAAGGAAGAGCATTTGTTAGGTGAACTTTTGTAAACAAGAGGTCAGTGGAATGTTTAGTTTCCTTGAGATTCCAAGTTTTACATAATGTATGCTGCTGATATCAAATGAGTCTTATTTAGACCATGGTACCCAGTTTTTCTGTGGAGTTGTGTTAAAGAAAATAAAGTTGTCTTTTATTTAAACTAGAGCAAAGCATTTTTTTTTTAGACTCAGAAATTCAGAATTTGGCCTAATTTGAATGGTAACAGGGCTGAAGTTTATTCTATATGAGGGGTTGGCAAGTTTTTGCTGTAAAGAGCCATATGGTAAATATTTTAGGCTTTGTGGATCTCTGTAGCAACCACTCAACTCCACCATTCTAGCACAAAAGCAGCCACAGATGACACATATGCAAATAAGTGTGACCATATTCCAAAAGAACTTCATTTATGGGCACTGAAATTTGAATTTATATGATTTCCTGTGTCACAGAATATTCTTTTTTTTTTTCCAACCATTAAAAAATGTAAAAGCCATTCTTAGCTTATAGACTGTACATTTTTTTGGTGGCGGGCTGGATTTGGTCGGGGCTTGGGGGGGCATAGCTTGTTGACTCCTGGGCTACACCATCCATAAAGAACAAAGTTGCTGAGCAAATCAGTTGGTTATGAAATGTTATAAAGAGAGTGGTTAACCTCCTATTTGGGAGAATAAAGTGTTGCTAAGAATTTTTAAACACTATTTTAAAAATATGTCTCTGTTCCCATGTAACCTAGGTTAAGTTGTTGAATCTTGGTGAACATTGCAAAAATTTAATTTTTTTTCTTATTCAGTAGCAGAATGGGGACAATAGTAACAAGACTTGCCTCTTAGGTTGATGTGAGTATTAAATGAAGGAATCATGTAAAAAACGTATCACAAAGTCTTTGCTCAAATTTTAACTAGTGTTGTTAACAACAGTAATAAAAAGATTTCCCCTTCCCAGTAAACCTCTCTCATTGAGATCAAATGATAATTTTGTTTGTTTGTTTTGTTTTGTGGTACGCGGGCCTCTCACTGCTGTGGCCTCTCCTGGTGCGGAGCGCAGGCTCCGGATGCGCAGGCCCAGTGGCCATGGCTCACGGGCCCAGCCGCTCCGCAGCATGTGGGATCCTCCTGGACCGGGGCTCGAACCCGTGTTCCCTGCATCGGCAGGCAGACTCTCAACCACTGTGCCACCAGGGAAGCCCTCAAATGATAATTTTTAATCTATATCCTAGAGCTCAGATCCACCACAAACAGAAAGGAAGAGAGAGCAAACCAGTGAGCTAAGCTTAGCTAGCCCTATGGATTAAAGAACTAGGCTGAAACCTTAGCTCTCAGGGATGGGAATGGGGTGGATGCAGAGGAAGGCAGTGGTGGGGAGGTTGAGAGCTTCAAGCAGGTGTCAGATTTAACCCAAAGCCCAAGGGAAATTACATGCCACACATTCTGCAATTTATATTCTGCAATTTATAGTGCGTTCTCCTTTGACACCCACGGGGTTACTCTCTGCCAGATGTTTTTCTCACTTGGGGTTGAGGTTGGAGAGTGACAAAAGGGGGCCAAGGACTCCTAAGAGCTGAATATGGTACTTTAGCACTTATAGCATGTCCATGTGAAGGGACCATTTGCGGAAGTACCATCTCACTACTGAACCAATGGCTGCTGACAACATGGCTCCTCACCGCCAGTGTCTAAAGAGAACTCTGCAATATCTCATCAAAAGGTCTTAATTCAAGGAACTTAAACACTCTCCTTAGCAAAGGACAGGGTCCAGAGCAAGCAGCCAGTCAAGCCTGCCCAGGAATGCAGCTTGCCAAAGACTGTGAGGCCCAGGGTCCTCTCCTCAACTTCTGCAAAATGTATCGTGGGAGTTTCACAGTCACAGATGTTCAGGATGTGGACATCAATCAGGCCTTTTTTGTTCAATGTTGTCGACTTCATCAAGAAACCTCTGCTCTGGAAACAGACTCACAGACTTAGAGAATGAACTCTAAGTGTGTTGCGGGGTGGGAAGGATAGTTAGGGAGTTTGGGATTAACATATACACACTACTGTATTAAAAATGGATCACAGGGCTTCCCTGGTGGCACAGTGATTGAGAGTCCACCTGCCGATGCAGGGGACACGGGTTCGTGCCCCAGTCCGGGAAGATCCCACATGCCGCGGAGCGGCTGGGCCCATGAGCCATGGCCGCTGAGCCTGCGCGTCCAGAGCCTGTGCTCTGCAACGGGAGAGGCCACAACAGTGAGAGGCCCGCATACCGCAAAAAAAAAAAAAAAAAAAAGGATCACAAACAAGGACGTACTGTACAGCACAGGGAATTCTGCTCAATGTTATGTAACAACCTAGATGGGAAAAGAATTTGGAAAAGGATAGACACAGGGATATGTATAACTGAATCTCTTTGCTATACACCTGAAACTAACACAACATTGTTAATCAACTATACTCCAATATAAAATAAAAAGTTAAAAAAAAAAGAAGGAAAGAAAGAAAGAAAGAAACCTCAGCTCTGAATGTCACAAAAAGAGGCCAAAGAGGCTATTTCCTTAGAGCTGCTGGTCTACTTTTTGGCAACTTGCCCCAGAGTTCTCTGTGAAATTTAGATTTGCTCCTTTATGGATTCATTTGCTAAAGATATACTATGTATAAAGTCAGGGCTGGGCACTAGAGAGAGGAATGTGAATAAGTCAAGACTTGCCTTCAAGATGGCAAAATGTGTGGTAAGTGCATTTATGGAGGTCAGGGAATATATGGAGGGTCAGGAAACCAAGAGAAGAAAGTGTCCCAGTTTTACCTGGGATGGAGGTGGGGATAGGGGTGGGGAGACTTCACAGAGTGAAGATGAATTGATAATTCATCTCAAAGGATGAATGAGGGGTGGGAGGGGCATTCCAGGCAGAGGGAACCCCACAAGGGAAAACAGGGCAGGAAATGGTGCTGCACACTTGGCAAGTTCTAAACAGCGCACTCTGAGTGTGTTAACATTTGAACACTGATAACAGACCTCAGGAGCCTATAAGCTAAGAGGGCTCCGAATGCCCCTGAAAGGCTCTGGAGAAACACCAGGTAGGTGGGCACTATTCGACTTCCAGACCTCGTCGACTCCAACTCATTGCCTTGCCCTGGTGCTCCTCTCTCCTGGTGACTGATTTCTCCCAGGTCCCAGAGCTGGCGCTGGAGGCTTGCACTGCCCTTCCAACCAGGTGGATGAGAAAGGGATAGTGTTGAGAACAGAAACATAAACTCTATACAAAGTTACTGAAAGATGTTTTTAAAACAAACTATGCTTTAAAACAAGGAAGTTGTGGGGAGTAGGGGGAAAGGAGATATATTTATCTTGCAGCTGAAGGGTCTGAACAGCTTTCAGCACTGTCACCCTAACCAAATGAGACATTGATATGGAAACGATTTTGGTTCTTTAAAAAATGAAACTGAGAGGAATGAGACAAGAAACCCACCTCTCCAGACGCCGTGCTCAGCACTTTCACATACGCCAGCCCAGTTCACCCTCACAGTGGCCCAACAAAATAGGTCCTGGTTGGTCCCATCTTATAGTGGAGGAAACTAAGGCTCAGAGAGAGAGCTAGTGACTTGTCCATGGTCACACAGTAATAATATGGATAAGTGAAGTCTTGACTGACAACATCTAGTGACAATTTAGGAGGCAAGTTTTTCTTTACGTTTCTGTCATTGGCAGTATTTCAATATTAAAAATGACAAATTATTGTACATGATTTGAAACCTAAAACTATAGCCTATATTTCTTTTATTTCTCCCATTATGTCTAGCTCAGTGTTGGCGACAAAGTAGGTGCTCAGTAAATTCTTATTGGTAAATTGGCTGACAAATTAGTCTTGCTAACCAGCATCCATTTATCATTCTACAACTTGGTTCTCTTTATAACATCTATTATGTTATAACTAACATGTATTCCTATTTTCTAAGGCTCTCTTTTTCTCTAGAGCACTGGTTCTCAACCGAGGGTGACTTTGCCCCTCAGGGGACATTTAGCAATGTCTGGAGACATTTTGGGTTGTCACAGATGAGGTTGGGTGTTGCTACTGGCATCTAGCAGGCAGCAGCCAGGGATGCTGCTCAACATCCCACAAGGCTCAGGACAGCACCTGCTGCAAAGACTTATCTGTTTAAACTCAAGTGTTAATACTGTTGCTGTTGAGAAGCACTGGTGTAGAAGGTAGCAACATGTGAAAAGTGGTTGACTGAATTGTTGAGCACACTTCTCTTGTGGAAGGATCTAGACATCTTTCCTGCCTAAATGCATTTCACATAGTTCCCCCGTTAGGGCAGAAAGCACAGTGCCAGGACCCACAGGCCAAAGCGGGCCTACAGCTGTGTTTCGTTTTGTTTGACCAATGGAGTGTTCAAATGTCTAAAAAATGTGTTGCCAACACTAAAAAGTCATGTGCTTTCAGAAAAAGATTGGGATTTCTACCTTCTCTTGAACAATAGGTTGACAAACACTGGTCTCTTATTACCACCTGATAGAGGTGATATGTAAATATTTAATAGGCACAGTAGGGCAGTGGCCATGCAGGACACCCCACCGTCCAGAATGAACACCTACCATAAAGGACAGTGACAGTCCCCAGGGCTAGATGCCAGCCCCGCCACCAACCCCGCCAGCTGGAGCTGAGGAGTGGCTGGTAGGGAGGACGGGCACTCCCAGCCCCTCCCTCTTGTCCCGTCACTACTGAGGCTGCCACTTGTCACCTCACACTTACTCTAACATTTTGCTTATGCAGATTTAATGGGGAAATAAAGTCTTCCCCAAAGGTGTCAAAATAGAAAATAAGGGCTGCCCGTTTCAAGGAAAAAGACGTTTCTACTTTTTCACTACTTTACTCATTAAGTTCTATGCTTAGCCCCTGTAATCTTTGGATTTGTGGCCACTGCTCTGGCTTAAACAACTTCTCTTTTAAAATGCATAAATTCCCCAGAAGGGCTAAGGCTGGTGGGAACTTTTACTTTCTATGAGCCTTTCTGCTTTCTCTTGGGGCATAGCTAAGGTTGCCTGCTCCGGGTTTTGGTGCTGGCAGTGGAATGAATAGGGTGAGTTTGGTTGGTGAGACCCAGGCAAAGCAGTTGTTGCAACACCTGGGGCCGTGATCTGAGAGCGGCTCGCCTTGCTCCTTCCCGAAGATGTCGGGGGCAGGGAGCCCTGCTGGTCCTTCCAGCTCTACTGGACACTCATTTCCTGTCCACCCTCTGGAGGCACAGAGGATTTCCAGAACGGCTGGGATTCGGCACTTGGGTGGAGCTTGGTCAAACAGAGCCCAGCCTGAAGGCATCGTTCCAGGAGACAGAGGAAAGGAGCAAAGAAAGACATGGAAAGGTGCCAAGACACTCCTGCCTGCAGTTCTGCCTGCGGCCTGGCAGCAGTGGCCACTGTGTGCCCCACACAGACACTGGAGGTTCCTGACGCCTTTCTGTAGGCAATCATTCACAGGGGCAGTGGGCTAGGTGGGATCAAGCCCTAGACTAAAGCATAAATGCTTATGCCTATCCTCTGCCATTTTGCCAAAGTGACTTTCAAAAAATCCCTGACACCTTTTTAGATTAACTTCAGCTGTGCAGGAATAGAGCGTTTATTCTGCCCTGAACGTTCTTCTGGTGAAGGACTATGCTTGTTTCCATTTAGTACTGAAAGGAAACCACCAACTTCTCAGGGGCATTTCTACCTTAAGGAGAAAAGTATCATGAGAAGGATAAAGGCTACGAGACCAGGAAGCTCAGTTCAGTGTTCTGTGAAGACCTAGATGGGATGGGATGGGGGTGTGGGGTGAGAGGGAGGTCCAAGAGGGAGGGGATATAGGTATACATATAGCTGATTCACTTCACTGTACAGCAGAAACTAACACAACATTGTAAAGCAATTATACTCCAGTTAAAAAAAAAAAGCTTATGAGACCAAGTCAATAACATTAACAATAATAATAACTCCATGCAATAAAGACCATTGCATGTATCACACACTGTGCTAGATGGTTTACATATACCATTTCTAATTCTCCCAAGGGTCCCACTAAGTAGCTATAACTAGTTCCTTTTTGTAGATGAGGAAATATGCCCCAACTAGTCCAAGGTCATGCAGCTAGTAAGTATTATGGCTGTGAGTTAATCTTGATTTGTCTGATCCCAAAGTCTGTGCTCATTGCTCTCCAAGATCTGCTAACCAAGACCCTCTAACTTCAGGGGTCACGTTAGACAGGTAAGAAGGAGGGCCACGCCGAGTCCCAGCTGCAAGGGTCCTCTTGGCTTATTTGAAAGACACTTTGGGCCAAGCAGGGGCGAGCCTCCTTTGAGAGGGGGTTGACCATCAGTGTGTTCCCAAGACATTTGTCCTTTTCAGTCACTGTAATCACAGCTACGGGCTATTGAGCATCCACTTTCCATGTATCGAACAAAGCTCTTTACGGAAGTGATCTTTCATTCTTTTCCCCATTTTTCAAATGATAAACAAACAAATAAACAAACCTCAAAAAGATTAAGTTGCCTGCCTGATGTCAAAAGGAGAACAAGTGACAGAGTCAAATTTGTAGCCAAGACTCTGATCTCATGACCATGCTTTTCCACTCTACTCAGTTGTCTACCCCCCTCCAGGATATGGCCTGGAAAACCCAGCCCCTGGTTAGTCCCTGAATTTTGCCTTCCGTGCTTGGAAAGAACCTATTGTGACATTTGACTTTGGTCTCAGAGTAATCCTGTTTCTTTTTGCCCACTGGGTATTTCCATGGGTCTGTTCATCGGTACAGCTTCCTCCTTGGGGTGGTTTGCAAATGGCACTTCGGCCAGGTTCCCCAAAGCCACATCTCTCTCAAGAGGCATCAAAGCCCTTCTTGGGCCGCACAGAGAAGGCTGAAGAGGGAAGAAAGCAAACAGAAGATGTTGACACTTGCCTCCTCTCCATCTCCATGACCCTCATTCTTATCAGAGAATATCTCAAACGGCTCTGAGGTCTGTTTCCCCTGGAACTTAAAGTGTGGGATTGCACTACCGGGCCCCAGGGTGAGGGACAGGGAAAGCCATGCTAGAGCAGGTTAGTGTAAGGAGTTCAGCCTCACCTTGGTAAATGTCAGATTCACAAATCCGCCCTGGAAATTCAAGAGAAGGTTGGATTTTCGGAAGCCACAGTTCCCAGAGGATTGGGTTGCATTGGGGTCGATGTTGAAGTATTTCTGAGGTGAAAAAACCTAAACCAAATAAAATAGATTTGGCTCAATGGAAGGTCGAAGAAAACTCTAGCTGGGACACCAGAAGCACAGGCTGGTAATTGAGCCTGAAACTCCAGGCTAGTGGGTGTTCACTGGAGAATTTCAAAGTCCCTGGAAGACACCTCTCATTTCCAAACTGTTGTTTAAAAGATTTTTTTTAAAGAAGGAGTGCTCTCACAGAGAGGAGTTCCTTGATAGATAATCCATGGCAGGTATATTCTTGAAAAACCGTGTAGAATTTAATTTTTGTTCAAGCAAACATGTTGGGTGCTACAGGAAATGTTTTGCTATCTAATGTACTTCTGTTTCAAATAAAAACCAAATGTGGAAGTTTTACTTGAAATCATAAAAACTGTGCAAAAAAAGGAAGAACTTTTATAGTGATTCTTTCAGTAAATCAAATAATCTAAGCCCCACTCCCACCCCCTCCAATCTTCTCATTAACCTGGATTTTTCATATTAATGTCACAGCTGGCTGGAACCACAAAGACCGTCTAATGCAAACCTCTCATTTCACAGGAAAGTTGCTGAGGCTTGGAAGTCATCCAGAGGAGCAGGGCCAGGCTGGGGTCAATGCGGGCCACATCCAACACTCTGCCCATGGTGGCTAAAAGTGGAGGGTGTGCATATTTAAAATTTTGGTGTGTGCCTTTCTTCATTCATACAGTTGCTATCAGTGTCTATTTTTGTATGTGTTCTAAAACAGATCCACCTCGTAACAGAGCACCTTGGAGAAAGAGGAGCCCGCAGATACCTATTTCATTCCAAGACACAGGATGCAGGGGAACGTTCATTTTCAGCAAGGCACTCCCCACTCAAACTTTTTGAAGCAGTGCTATAGTCCTGTGCCAGACTTACCGACTCTGTGTCTTGAACCGTCAGCTGTATCCCCATCTCTGCTTTGATACAGAGCTCGCTTCCGTTCAGAACTTGATAAATTCCAGTCTTGGCTGACGATGGCTGGGGTGCGAGGGTGGGCCTGGGAGCTATGGTGGCAGGTGAGGCTCTGTGGGTTGTATTGGTGGGCCCTGGGGTGTGGGTAGGTTGAGTAGGCTTCTGACTGGTTGTGCTGTTGTGTGGTGTGGTGGACAACGTTGCTGGAAGGGTGGTCTGGTTACTGAATTGGGTGGCTTTCCCAGTTGTGTGGCTGACAGTCGACGGCCTGGCTCCAGTTCTGTGGGCTGGCGGGGTGACGGTGGATGGTGGTGGACTGGGACCTGTGCTGAGGTTGATTGTAGCCTCAGTGACTGGGGCAGCTGCGTGTGACTTGTTGGGTGTGGCCAGGGCCGTGACTAGGGTGTGGGCTGTCGGGCTGGTGGAGGGGGTGCTGTCTGCAGTTACCAGGGAAGCTGTTGCTAGAATTTTTATGGTTGTGTGTGTGGTTAGGGTCTCAGAGGTGGATGTTGTGACAGCTATCTGAGAGGTGACATGCCCATCTGTTGACCTTGCTGCTAAAGTTTTCTGAGGCACACGGTTTGTTGGCTGCAGGACAGAAGGTTTTGCTGTGGCCTGTACTGTTGCAGGCGGAGAATAGCCTGTGATCTCTGGAAACGCTTTTGCTCTCACATGACCGCCATAATGCAAAATCACTGCAAATTAGGAAACAAAAATGTTAATGCACCAACCAATGGCTCACATGAGTGAAGCCCTCCTCCACTCCACTTTAAGATTTCTTCATTAAAAATTAACATGTGTTTTTCAGATTTGGGGGAAATTTACAAGGAAATAACAGTGAAGTGAAGGTCACTCAAAATTCTACCACAAGGCCACAATTTTAACGTTTTAGTTGCACCCATGTTTTTACAGGGTTGTGAGCATACTGGAGATATTCTTCCCCTTTCTCTGTGTGTGGTGTGGTACTATCACCCCAGCGAGCGTGCTCAGCTAGATATCTAAGTGCCAATGCCTCTTCATTTTCCGTCTTCAAATGTGAATCCAGACAGTTCCTGGATAGAGTGTGCTCCTGGGTAGGGTGCTGCTGTGATGACCTGATAGAGCTAGGGCAGCATGAATAACAGTAATAAAGATTTACACAGACTTGTATAGTTTTCAGAGAATCATATAATCCCAGGTTCGAAAGGGACCTTAAAGATTATCTAGTACAAGCCCTAATCTGATGTGTGAATTGTACTGTTGGATATTTGCCATGTGTTCCGCCAATCTATGCATAATTACCTCCAATGACAAGAGATTCAGTTACCTTCCATTTTTTATTTCACCATCAGTTTTCTTTTCTTTTCTTTTAATAAATTTATATATTTATGCCTGCATTGGGTCTTTGTTGCTGTGTGTGGGCTTTCTCTAGTTGCGGCGAGCGGGGGCTACTCTTCCTTGCGGTGCGCGGGCTTCTCATTGTGGTGGCTTCTCTTGTTGTGGAGCACGGGCTCTAGGCGCTTGGGCTTCAGCAGTTGTGGTGTATGGGCTCAGTACTTGTGGCTCACGGGCTGTAGAGCGCAGGCTCAGAAGTTGTGGCGCACGGGCTTAGTTGCTCCGTGGCATGTGGGATCTTCCTGGACCAGGGCTCGAACCCATGTCCCCTGCATTGGCAGGTGGATTCTTAACCACTGAGCCACCAGCGAAGCCCCGCCATCAGTTTTCAAAATGTACCCCAGTTTCTGTCATTCCCTTACTTAACCGTTAGAGTGGCACAGACTTTTCCAACTAAGGAATTAAATTAACCCATAAGTGCTCTGATATATGTGGTGTGCCATCCTTCATGGTTTGGCTTAAATGTCAGCTCCTCAAAGAGTCTTCCCCAACCTTCCCACATGAAACAGCTCCCCATCCCCACAATTCTCCATCACAGCTTCACTGCACTAATCACAGCTTGTAATTATATAAGGAGATGGTATTCAAATATTTAACAATAAGCCTGTCCAGACAGTGTGTACCAGCAGAATATCAGCCCTGATTATATGTTTATTTATTAATTGTGCCTCTCTCCCACTAGATGAAAAGCAACCTCAAGGTGGGAACTGTGGGTAATTTTTTTCACCACCAGTGTCTGTGCATAGAAGGTATTCAGTGGATACAGAATGAATGAATAAATAACTGAATGTGTAAATGATGGTTATAGCATTGTAGACTTCCTAGGGTTATTAACAGGCTCAAACAAGGTGGTTTGAGTGAAAGCCTTCCTGGACTATTAAGCATACCTAGAGTGTGTATTATTGTCATAGGTTGTCTCCTGGGTCATCCCTTTAGGGCCGAAGGCCTCTGAATCTTTTTCAGCCAGAATAGTTCTATCCTTGTCTCCTTCCAAGCACAGAGCAAGCCAGAAAGTAGACAACTGCAGATGATGTCCTTTGGGAGCTTACGATCAGGTACACTGAGAGATGGCACTGTCTCTTCAATGCTATGGTTTCACTATGTTTACACATTGTATATTCACTCATTGGAGCTGTTACTGCCCGGTGCTGGGCAGTGACTTGGAAAAACACGGGGAAAAGGGAAAGAAGATTACTCTATGCTGGTGTTTATAGAGTCCTGAATTTCATATCTAATTAAAGTCATCCATAAACACCTTTACTATCTCTCCCTTTCATCCAACACATTTCTAGGTGGGTACTTTCCCCATAGCAATAAAAATTCCAAGTTACTGAACACTTACTACATGGCAGGCCTCAGGTCAAGGGTCTTCTTTCACCAGCTCTCCTCAAAAACCCTCTGACGGCTACCAATCTTTATCTGTCTTTCAGATGAGGAAACTCAGGTTTAGAAAATTCTATTAACTTGACCGTAATCACACAACTAGTAAATTTTGAAGCTGAGACTCAAGCCCCTGTCTGAACCAAAGCCTGCCCTTGGATCTGGGCATGGGTGGAGGTGGTGCGTGTCACTGGGAAGAATGGTAAGAGAAGAGACAAAAGCAGAGGAGAGAAGCGTAGGGTGCCCCTCCAGTGACCCCAGTTCACTAAACCCTCATAATGGTCGTCCTCAGAGAGTCTTTCAAAGGCCCACATGTTAAAACAGTGATTATTTTCCAGAAGAAAAGGCTAACTTTAAGCCCAGTAGTAACACTTATAAATTATTTCTGCACAGCTGGTTTGCAAAATGGGAAAGACAAAAGTGACAGTTCAAAATGCCTTTGATAACCTTTAAAGAAGACATTATTAAATGACATTAAGTTACTTGAGACTATTACTAAAGAGTCTCTTCTTGTATCTAAAATGTTTACTTGGACAATTGAAATGTATGATATTTGAGAGTTGCAGATTTTATGGGCTATAGATTTACTTCACAAATCTTTGTAAAATCATACGTGGAGCCTTTATGCCCATACTGTAGAGCCTGGAGCAAGATTTTTTCTTTCAAGATTGTTATGAAGGTTGACAGTTGTTGAAGATTTATTTGCATAATTCATCTGGGCTGAACCTGAGTTGCTGTTTCCTGGGTCAAGAACCCGACGGGAACCCAGTTAGGGTCATAGTATTACTATGAAGAAATAGAATTCACTCCCAGATGTGGTATCTAGGAACATCTTGTAGTAAAATGCAAAGATTGCTGCAGAGAACTCTGGGAGACTGGGAACCACCTGACTTTTGCTCTCCTGGAAGATTAGGTCCTTGATAAAATCCCACTGTGTACAGCTTATGCTTATGAACTAAAGCAAACCTTCTCAACTGAGTAGAATTTCCTCAACTGAGTAGCACACCCTTTCAAAGGGGGAGCCTTCCTCATAATGCAATTAGAACTCCTCCCTCAGCAGTGATGAATGAACTCAAGTAAGGGAAACAAGCACATTGGCCATTCATGAATGCACAGCACCCCAAACAGGACAAGATGACTCATGGTACACTGTCAAGTGTGCTTGGTATATAGGAAGTCTTTGTGAGGTGCCTGGAGGTGATGGTGTCTCCATATGGTATGTGACCTTGAAGTGGACAGGAGCCTGGGCTGGTAGGTGGCAGGATCAAAAGTGACTGAAAGTAACAGAGTGTGTTACAATTAAACAAGTCTGGGAAATATTGTTCTAATATTCTTGTCCTTCGCCACTCTGGTCCCTCCCCTCCTCTCCTCATCTCCCTGTAGGAGTGTGGGGTATAAAAGATGGGCAGGCAGTTAGATGGAAATTTGACAGAGGTAGCTATGCTGTGCATTGAAATACATCCCAGAAAGTTCATATGCTTGTTAGGTACTCAATGGAAATAATACTGTGAAAAATACTCTGTTTTACAAAATCTATGTTTATGACCACACACATATGACCAATCTTGGTCAAAACTGGGTCATAGTTTTTCAATGGGATCTTTGGCCTACAGGTTTAGTCAAGTTCACTGGTCTGTCTGAAAACCACAAAGTGGGCAGTGGACAGAAGCAAGGGTGGGGCACAGCTCAGACTCTCTCAGTTCTCCTTCTACTCAGAAGAGCACAGCCTGAAGTCCACACACTGATTTGCGAAGCTCCCACTCCCAGAACCTCAGCATCTCCTCTCCAGGATTCAAGAGACTCAGCAAATGAGTACCCCAGAGCCTTAACCCCTTGTTTGTATTCCTCTAGATGGTGAACTGCAGGAAGGGGCGTGAGAAGGTTTTGGTTTCC